AATCATGCTATGCCATGTTTAATACAATTATGTTTGTTGGCTAGTTTTAATTTTCTTATGTTTCGTGATGTGAATCTTTCATAATGCCATGTGTGTTTGTTAACATGACTGCTTAATGCTTCAGCTTGAAGTCACTAAGCATGGTATTGTTAAAATGTCATTAATGCTTAAGCTTGAAGCTTAAAACGGAAATATCTATGTGCTCTAATTGTGCTTCTGAAGATGAGTTGATCCTTGGCCTAGTAAGAAGATGAAATTTTACTAGAATCCTCTACTAGATCCTTGGCCTAGTAAGAAATGCATGATGCATTTGTTACTGTAACTATGATAGTGATCAAGTTTAATTTCCTACTTTTGCAGTAGACCATATTGAGATCATTAATGAATTTGTCATTTTTATTCTCAAACAAAGTTCAAAAATGTGATAAAAGTATATGGAGTAACAAAATATCCATAATTTTATATTTAACATTAGGTCACACAAATGATAACAGTTTTTAAAAGATATAGTTAAAGGATATTCTTTTCAAATTCATGCAAAATCAATAGATCAAATTCTTATGTAAAATTGAACGATCTTTTAACCTTAATAACAAGCACTCATTCTTGTATTCTTTAATTCAATATTTATGTACAAAAAAATAAGTACATATTATATTCTTTAATTCAATATCTAATTCTAGAAATATTTAATAGTCCATACCCAACCACTATATATAATAGTCCATACCCAACCACTATATATAATAGTCCATACCCAACCACACACAACTTTTAAACCCTAACTCTTACCAAAACCCTTGAACCAAACAATCCCCATCCGACGAAGATATGAATCCATCTTTTGAAGTTCTGATGAAGGATTCATACATAACGCAAGATTATATGGTAAATGAGCTCTTTTTTTTCATTTAAAATTCTGTTTTTTTTAATGCTTGTGATTTTCGACTTGGTTTCTTGAAGAGGGGCACATCTGGGTTTTGAAGAGGGGCACATCTGGTTTCAACCAAAAAAAATTGAGTTTCAACCAAATCCAGTTTGAAACAAACAGATCTGCTTGTAATAAAATATCAAACAAACTGTTTTTTTAATTCTTTTTTTTATTAATCTCTCAACCAACCAAGTATACATAAAAAAAGTTGAGTTTCAACCAAATCCAGTTTGAAACAAACAGATCTGGTTGTAAGCGGAGATGGTTCTTTTTTTTCTCTCAAATCCAGTTCGAAACAAACAAATCTCTCAATTTTTTTTTCTTTTTGTTTGCAGCATATTCCAGAATATTTTTACGAACACCTTCCTGAATCACATAGCACAGCGGTTCTTCACTATGATGGCGAGCCTTGGTTTATGAAAATTAACATGGGTAAGCGAAGATGGTTCAAAGACGGTTGGAAATATTTTGTGATGAATAATAACATCAAGCGGGGTTGGTTAATTAACTTTGAGTTGGTCGAAATTACAGAATTCTGTGTTATCTTCCAATTGCACGTGACAGGCCGAGGAACTCTCCAAGATCCCGTTGAAATTAACTAGTTATGTTTTGTCTTCCCAGTTTGTGTTGTTTTAACTTTTGTTAGTTTTTTTTATGTAATATGTACTTTTATTTTCCAGTTTGGTTATTATGTAATGTGTATTTTGATTTCGGACTCTTTTGATTTTCCAGTTATCAAATTGGTATATCACTTGGTATCATTTCATTGCCCTAACTACAAACCCTAACTATATAGTTGGAATGTGAATAGTTTTTAGTTCAAAAAAGGGTTGGTAACTGAAATAATAAATGCAAGTCAACTAACACCAAATTTCCCCTAAAATAAATGCAATTCAACTAACATCATTAATTACGACAATTCAAACAAAACCAGATAGTGTAGCCAAAAATAGGTTGTTTTTTTCACTGACAGAAAATCAGGATGTTTGATACTGGCTTGGCCCCTATAAATATGGTCACATACTCAAACACTAAAGACCTAAAACACTCACAAACCCTAGTTTACTCTTCTACTAGCAGTGACGATATATCTTACTCTTCTACTTCCAGTGATATTGAAGAAGAGATTCCTCCAACTTTTGAAGTGATTATGACTGATTCATGCACTTAAAATTCAACCTAATTCTACCTACACACTACTAAAACGGTTGGGAATAATAAATGCTTCATAGTAACTAAATGTGAGTATTTTAGTTCTTAGTTTGAACTGATTATAATGTTATGAAGTCTTTCACTTCTAATTACATTTTCTTAGTGTAGTCCGATAAAATGAAGAAATATTTAACAATGATAATTATTATCTCACACGTTTAAATTATTACAAAACAACGTCAAAAAATTCAAAAAAATCTATATCAAATCAAATTAAATAAGATTCAAACTTAAATCATCTCAAACTAAACGGTCAAGTCTTCTATCTCCCAGTCTGCTTCATCGTTAAAATCAGGCAAGCTACTGTGTGCTTGTACTGTTGCATCATCTTGCTGTATAGAGTAAATAACACTAATAAGCAATGTATTTTTCGGAAAAAAATATAATAATAATTTGTTATAATTTACCTCAATTCCTTCCGCTAGCCCAGTATTTCCACCACCTCTACCACGGCCTCTACCATGGCCTCTACCACCACCTCTGCCACCACTTCTACCACCACCTCTGCCAACACCTCTGCCAACACCTCTACCACCACCTCTACCCCTCCTATTACCTCTAACTCCACTTCCACCAGCCCGTTTGTGAACTTCTAAAGTATGAATCGATTCGCCCTCTATATCTATTCAACCTTGGACGTCCACGAGAAGCTACGTATCTAGGATCTCTTATATTTCTTCCTTCACCATCACCCTCACCCTCACCCTCACCCTCACCCTCACC